CCACAGTATGGAGCATCGCGCCTTTTTCCCGATTTTTGGAGAGTCGATCTTCGTGTTTGAACGGCTTTAGTGCATAGTCAAGAGCAGGTAGGCCTCTAAGACATCAAAATTAAGATGTATTTATGCATAACCAAATGTGTGATGGCAGTCAATTTGAACGGCAAGTGTTTTTTTGGCAAATAAATGCTTGAATTTGAAGCCGTGTCGGTTGTGTTTTTGGTCGGTTTGTCTCCTACCTTGTCATAATATATATAAGTAGGGGAAAGTTTATCATATTGAGCTGAAACTTCACAGGGGTGTTGAGAAAAATAAGAAGAACACTATGTTGTAGTTTGAAATAATTTTATTCAGTTTTACCACTTTTATYGAACTTTTCGTTTTTCACTGTCAAGCCCAGTGCTTGGGCTACCTGTGATTAGACCTTAAATTTATTTGAAAAAGGCTCAAAATCCAACTTGTATAAGCAGACGTGATAAAAACCAAGTTATAGCTATACTARATGTGAATTAAATCGACCAAAATATGTGGAAACCAAAGAAATCAAACTGATTTCGAGATACCCGAAAACTCACGAAGAAAACCGACTCTGCGCTTAGCAATTTTTTCACAATAAAAATTTACTAAGCAAATCATTTAAAATTCCTATTGAATTKATTGATATATTTTCGCTATTACGCTTTATATTGACAAAATGTCGCCAGGAAAYAAGGAGAAAATCATTCACAAGTCCACCAACACGTGGAAAGATGTCAAATTCAAATCAGGAACTTTTTTTGACWGTTTTTTACAAACCTGCCCAGTCAAACGCYTTTCCTGCTCRTCTGCAGCAGCCGCCCAATCTTCTTCAGACATTTTCTAGTTTTCAATAGGTTTAWAAATGCTTTTTTCCACACCTAGAGCAAGTAAAATTCGCAGAAATTTTTCTCACTTCAATTCAGGAAACGCATTTGCGCACGCGTCAGGATACTAGTGTCTAGTCTCTTTTGTAGAAAGCCGCAAATAACACAGGGAATCTGAATTTCAAGAGTTCAAAGCAGCTGCGAAAGAAAGATAAGGAAGCAACACCTAAAAACATACACTTGGAGAAATATCTTTATTTTTTCATGAAAGAACAAAGTTCACTGAATACATATTATTACATAGATATTAAGAATGAAAAATGAAGATAGTATGAAACTGAAATGAAGGGAATGTACTGCAAAATTTACTGTGCTAAATTACTACATTTTGTCTTWCCCAACAAAAAGTCTGCAAAACAGACTACTCTAAGCCAAGCAGATAAGAATTATTCAGCAGATAAATTCTATACAAAATCTATAAAAAGGATAACTTTACCAAGTGGAGAACTTTAATCCACATTGCTGACCAACTGGCCTTAGTTTTTCTGAACATTAAAARCCCAAACTTACTGTGCTTATATCAAAATCTTTTTGAGTGATATTTTGAAATTATAACTAATGTTGTCAAGTGCAACTGCATAAGTTAATTGTAAATTTACTTGTCTTGGATTGATGTTACTTTTACAGTTGCCCTTGACAACCTGTATAGTGGTGTCTATAGCAACCTGTAGGCCAGTTTTTCTAGTGAAAAAAAAAACCTATCAAAATGCCTGCCTTTCTAACTATGTGATAAGCTTAGTACAACTATTATTACTGATGAACTAAACTAACTGTGAGTGCGTTTAATATATTTGTGAAATAAAATCTAAATAACGTCTACTTAATAGTTTTTTTTTTCACAGTTTTAGTGTCTACATGAACAATCTTTAAATAAACCATGTTTGGCAATATTAATCATTTGGATTTTGTTTCAAAAGCATTCAAAATGCATTATGTAAATMTTTATGATAAACAAAATTGTTTTAAAAATTATTTTCAAARAGGATTTCCCAAAAACATAACAAAGGCATCTTCTTCTTTTTTCACTTCTTTCAATACAATTGAGAATATTTTCTTGAATTTTACAACAATCTTTTTGGTAATTATGATGAGGTATGCTCAATGTGAGTACTTGAATTCTTGCTTTTTCTACCATTTCTGAACTTGCGCAGAGAATTTGCAATATCCCTAGGATGTCCAATTGCATGAGCCGACAGTAACTCCTGTTTAGCCCAGTCAAAKATCCCTCCTTGTGGCGTGGGTTTGCAGTAGTACTTCTTGCTGTGTTCTTTATATTTAGCCTTGATATTGACTGGACCATCTTTTACGCGGTTGAATACAACCGTTTTGTGAATAAATACAGCTGTATAGCATGAGTCAATGTCAGCGTGATGACCGTACAAGTCATCTTCACGAATGTAGTACATATCAGCAATATCTGTACGGTTTTCAAGGCATTTCGACCAATAGCATCCCGGCAGTGTGACATACCCTGAATACTTTTCCAGCACTTTGCAATCCGTTTCCTCCATGTTATGGCCTATATATATGGAGCCCCCTGGTTTGACAATTCGCAATAACTCCCTCACTAAGCTACATTGAATATCCTTTGGCAATTCTCTCAGTCCTGCATAGTTTATTGCATGGTCATACATATGTGAGGGGACTTGAGAAAGTAGCAATGTTTTATCCTCAGAAAGAGTGTAAAATGTATCTGGAGTATCGTTGAAAACTCGTTTGGCGTATTCCACAGCATAGAAGTCCTTATGTGCTCCTCCAATGACTAATTTAGGRTATTTCTTYCTTAGTGAACGTAGCCATTCGTTACAGCCAGTATTACTATCAAACACAGCGTGACTGCCTTTGATGTTAAGCTGGTCACTGATTACAATAACCCAGCTTTCGTCTACGTGAGTTTCATTTTTGAACCGTCTGCGACAGTGWATATCCTCCCAGTTGTGATCAAAGACGGTTTTCTGAAACCAATGATGAAATTTGTGGCTGACTCCATTGAAAATATGGGTGGTTGTCGAGCGAAARAAGAAATGACTCAAAACAAACAACACCAATATTGCCRCGATCGACATACCRACTAATCGACCAAGTCGCACATTAGTTATGACACGCATCTTTAGCTGAATATGTTGTAATTACATTATATGTTTTCCAGATAAACAACTTATTTTGGCCAAAGCGTGCTACCCCAAACAATCCGATATAACACAAGTGGCCTGGAAACGACTAATCTATTTGTATTCGGAAGTCATTCGGGATAACGTCGGAACGATTCGGTAACCTGTCGGGATTTTATCGACAAGCCGAAAGGAATTAGGTGTCAGTGTCAGGGCGGTGTTAGGTTCAAATAAAGTGRAGAAATACTTGAAATTATAATAGAAGTATAGCGTAAAAAGTCATGATTATTTCACTCGTCAACTTATTCTATTTTATTGCTAATAAGTATACATGAAAAAATTTCTCAATTCTGATTGGCTGATAACATCTCAATTAATTCTTAATTCAGTGCAATTACATTTCTTGAGCAGTGCAAAAAGTCTAAGATTTATTTATTTAGTCTACTGGAAGTTGCTTATAGCTATGATATCTCAATAAATGAACAATTTATGGACGATTTCACTCAGAAGATACAAACCGCTGATCAATAATGCCTCAAGTTTCTCCTGATTCTTGCACATGCGTGRTGGCGAAACAAAGGATATTCAGTACAATTTTGAAAGTATTGCAAAACACACARAGACCGTATGGCTATTTTCTTTTAAAAAGTCATCTAGCGTCCGAGTGTAGTTCACTACATTCAAGAGATCGTCAAATAAATAGTTCCGCTTCGTCCTCTGGCAGACGTCACATGTCATCAGTTCTCACAACTTCTTTCCGGGAAATTAAATCAACTTGAAGCTAAGAAGTTCAGTATCGACTTGTAGAAGTCATAGAAGACTTCTGACCGCAAAATATATATATGTGCAGCTTGATTGTACTTATACAACATAGTTGCTCTCAGAATAATCATGCAAGCTGGAGTTTGGATGATACCGATTGCCATTGATGTCATGGTCGCCATGTTTTTCTTTGCAAACTGGAAATTCACTTAGATGTATGATTAGGCTTTGAGTATTTATTGAATTACGTTCRAGAACTCCATTTATGAACTATCTAAATCCTCTACCATTGGCCTTAGCGCATATAATGCAATTGCACTTCAGACGTTTCTGAGGTCTGTGTTGTTCAGGACCAGCAATGTGGCCTCCGGTCTTTCGTTTAGTTGGATTTCGTACAACGTATAGTTTGTTCATTCAATCAATTCCAATTAAATCATCAGTGTTTGTTGTTCATTGTTATTTTGTTTCATTTTGAGAATTTGCAAAAGATTTTTAAAACGGCTTTCCTAATGTCCCTCATGCGCCAAAAGTACAGCAAAGGGTTAACAGTTGAATTCACCAGAGCGCATGTACCGGCTGCAAACCCCGCGTAAGGATCCACAAGGTCTTCAAACAAGGCATACGTAAAGTACACTGCCATAGGAGCAAGAGAAAGAGCATAAAATCCATGTAAATAAAACATATTTCTCAGCGATTTTCCGTGCCGTTCTGCAGGTGCACAAATCGCGCGCCTTTGGTCCCGAATTTGCCTYCTGTGCCGGCGGACGATACGAAAGATTACAAAATAACAAACCGCTACAATCAGAATACATATTATAGATGCAGAAATAACGATTACTTTGAAGCCTTTTGTGTCAACAGACGCGTATACGGCAGTCATAATCGTGTTCAGCGACCAACAGCCAGCACAAAACACTACAGTCTTTCTTGTAGTGATAATCTCTTGGTACCTTAGGTGTAAATATACAGCGAGGCAGCGGTCCACAGCAAGTACAGCCATGGAAATTATCGAAGCGCCCACAAAATACATACAAACAACTTGGAAAATTGTGTTCAAAGTGTTATACCGCCAGTAAACCATCAMATTTACAGAGATCAAAGGCTGGACTATTAGTCCTACACCAAAGTCCGAGAAGGCGAGGCAGAAGATTACKACCTTGGAAGGCGAGTGAAGACTTTTGGTTCCCCAGATTGAGATAAGAACTGGAAAATTAGCGCAAATTGCGCATATAGTCGTCACAGCGTTAATCAAAAACAAAGCGAGTTGYAACGGTGAGTKAATTACCATGATAACGCTTTCAGCGCATCCAATAGAACTACCAGTCACTGAACCACACAGTTTGTATTCTGACTTCTCCAGAAACTATCAACGCACCCGCACAGCCTCTTTTTCTAAACTGTCTCAAGGGATCATGGACAGCTTCCAAATCTATWAACGAAAGGCCGGGAAGATTTGATGGCAAACGACAGAAATGTCAGTATATCACTGTGACATGGCAATTTTAAGAGTGCATTGTATGKTATGCCATTTATATATTAATGGCAGGGTCATTTGTGAAAATTCTGGTKTTCCCCTATAAGAACGTGTCTGCCCGATGCATCATGGGTATTCATAAGACTCTTTTCTCGTTAACTAAATTTGCAAATCAATCACTGATCTCTTTGAAATTGTGCTTATTTAGAGTTAATTATTCAAATAAATTCCGGGACTAAATGAATAGGAAATGTTTAGAGTGCACGTCACATAAGCATGAAACAATTCTTAATATGTATTGCTAAATAAGATTTAGTTATCAACTAACTAAGAATTCAACAAAGCATAAACACAATGCCAATTATTTAAATTCCTTTGTAGCATTGTTCTCAATTCTTAGTTAGTTGATAACTAAATCTTATTTAGCAATACATAGTTAAGAATTGTTTCATGCTTATGTGACTTGCACTCTAAAACTAATAGCAGCATACTGCGTGTATCCAGAACTCAATGGAGGTTACCTATGAAACATAATTTCTTAAAGTGACTGTATTTTAAGCCCGACTTATGTCAATAGTGTGAGGTTCTGCCTAAATTGCTTTCTAGTACAGTGCACAAATTGAAGACAAATTCAATTACTGAAACAGCCTCCCTCAACCCATTGACTCCTGTCCTTGACACTTACAAATTATAAACTAACAATTGTCCGGAACAGCACTATTTGTCGACCGTAAATAAAACCTTTAAGAACATTTTAAGATTGACTATTGAATGGAGCTCGATTTTATTTCCGTACATTTTGAAAACATTTAAAAGTGTTCACGAAAGTCAAAGAGGAACAAGAAATTTCAGGATAAAGGGAAGCGCAGATCTCATTTTCTGAGCCCCAACATTAAAGTTCTAAGAAAACACCAGAAAAAGTTAACCACTTGTTTTTATAAATCAATTTTACTCTCACAAAATTTTGCTTTTCCTCGCCGTACTGACGAACTGTACATATATAATATCAACGCTAYTGAGTATGCACACTGGATGGCAAGTAGTTTTCATGAGAAGAGTTCAGTTTTATCTAGTCTCTTTTGCAGCCTCCCTTTTGWCGGGCTTCCTGTCCCTCTTTTGAAGCCCAACAAAAGTGGGAGGCTGAGAARGAGACTAAGTCTAATCTGACTGTGAAACAATTACTAATATAGTCAGTGATTGGGAACTTATAATAGTCGTATTCCAAAAAAAAGAACACATTTTTAAGAGTTTCAATAAATCCGTGAAACAGTCATTAGAGTGAAGTCAATAAACCCGTGATAAAGTGAAAGAGTGAGGTCAGTAAGCCCGTGAAACAAAATTTCAGTATAAAGGTGTGATAGTTACAAAATAAAACAATGCAATTAAGTGTGTTAGTGTAATATCTATTTCATGGGTTTCATGACTTCACTATAAAATACTTTATCATTATATTGTTCACNAAGAGGAACCGGATAATTGACTATACACGAACAAGAAGTCTTCAAACTCAAAAACCCAACAGGGGTAGAGTGGTGCAGTAATATAACCCCCAGGGTAGCTGCCCAAGTAACAGCCCAGCTGCATTGGACAGGAAGCCATTATCAACCTTGAAAGTTATACTTAACTAGATTCCACTCCCCATTCATGTCAAATCTACCGGTAGTTCCCAGGCTTATTTTGATCAGTATTTGACACACTATACAGTCGTTTGAGGAAACGATCGCTTTAGTAACTGCACAAAATCAATCAGTTTTGTCAATTTTAGACTGCAACGTTGTGGTTTAGAGTGGTTTTCATAAGCCCGTGAAACAAAGTGTAATAATTAGAGTGTAATAGATCGTAATAGTCGCGTAGAGACAATAAAAAACAAAAGAGCCAAAGTGTAATAGCGATAAATACGCTAAGGTGTGTTCCACGGGTTAATGAAAACCACTCTAAAGTGCAGTACTAAAGGTTGACAGGCTATGGATAGGAGAATTCATGTTTCGTTAAGCGAAATGCATCATGGTACTGATAAAACTGTGCAAAAGGACGGCGCTGTTTGCAAAATTAACGTTATCTGTCATCGAGAACTAGCCTCCTCCACAGACATTTTCTTCATCGGGCTTCCTGTGTTGAGGAAACGAGACTGGGAGCGAGCAAAAATAAACCCCAGTCCCCGCTCTGCCATATCCCTCGTTACCACAGGAATCCCAAAAAGGAGAAAAAGGAGCAGCTTGCGGAGGAGGCTAATCGAGAACGGTCTGGATGAACATTAAATAAGATGCCCACACACTTAGAGTGTACTACAAAACCAGTCCAGGAAACAAGTAATGCTTGTTGTACATGTACGCAAAACAGCTTGAAACACAATCGATAAACAACAGCTTATCTTCAATTCGTACCTTCATCAAWCCCATGATGCATTTCGCCGACGTACTGAGTGCTGATTACAATCTCATTGACTGTACTAAAGCTGATTGACAAGTTCAAGATAAATTATCTGTTCATACTTCACTATTTGCCAATAGAAAAATTTGTGAAAGTAGCTGTGATGCTTCCATGACCAAAACCTTATTTCTCCTTAGGTATCAAACACTTTGGGAGATTYTAAGTGATGATCACTTCATGCATAGGTCTATAATGTTTGGACTCTTCAATTCAATAATGTGAATATAGAGTTATTAATATTGGAATGTGTCCCCTTATCTATTTACGTACGTATGAAGGCGACGCCCTAATATGGAGCGCACATCTGAAGTAAACCGCAATGCATCAAGCATTGGTAATAGATTTAACAATGCAGTGTCTGACGGGTCTGCAAACCATGACTTTATTGCGATGGCATTATCTGGAAGATAATAAATAGTGGTTTGTAAGCTTTTTTTTTTTCCATTTTTTTTATTTGGGCTTCCTGTGTTGAGCTCTTACCACAGGAAGCCCAATTAGAAAAGTGAAAAGCTTCCAAAAGAGAAAGCTAAGCAGATAAACCAAAAGATAATTACTATCATATCCTATGCAATTATTATTATATATTATTATATTATATATTATTATATTATTATATCCTATGCAAGAAGGTGATTGGATAATTACAACCTTGTTTACAAGGAAAGAAGCCCTGGTTACAAGGTTTGGGACACTCAATAAGTCATTGAAATCATGTTAGTTTTTACTCAATTCAACTCAAAAACACCACTTCTTTTCAATGATGCACTTACCCAAGTTATAGCTGTAAGCTTCAGGTGAATTATCAAGTATAAATACTGATGATAAATCATCGCATACTTTGGATAATTCTTTTACGTAGCAAACGTACATACTGTAACCTTGCTGAAATGGCTGTAAACTACAATGCTGTGAACAAAAGCATACCATGGTTAAGTAACCGGTAATTTCATTGGGATCCCTTTGGTAAATTCACCACAGGTAACCCATATACATGAATTTGCTTACCTGTCTAAAGTACCTTCTGTTCAAGATTCCTCTATTATTATCTAAATGATCAGTAACTGCAGAACCATATTGCTGTAGAAAAGAACAAGAAACAATGATAAAATAGCAAATAATATACATGTATAACTAATAATCAATAAAAATTGAGCATCATTGACAATAATTGAGTTTTCCCAGTTTCTTTTAAACTGTGGGCGCTTTCCATTTGTCAGAACTGGCTGGCCAGACCCAGAGAAAATGTCATTATATATCATTCCTATTTAGTTGGTAAATTCAAATTTTCAAATTCTATCCATTATTTTAAAGAAAACCTCGAAATGACTGAAAAATGTTGACAAAAAGCATAATATACCTCTAAATAGAGCAGACTGGCCGGCCAGTTCTACCTAAATGGAAAGCACCCTGTGTTTGCCTCAAATGTAAAATATGCAGAACTCATGATATTTTAAATTATTCTCATTGACTGTGCATACAGATATCTTGCATTTGCACGGGCTGTTATTGAATAAAAGATTATATTAAATGATTTTGAGTGTAAAAGAGATCATTAAAGGGTTTATTATTGCTAAAGCTGACAGTTTTTGAGATTACAGTAAACATACCTCTGTACTAGCTGTAAAAACCACCAAATTGTACCACTGACTGACCTGTAACAATATATAATAGGTAATAGGAATGGTGACATTACTTCAAGTTACAACTACCAGAACATACAAAAAAGGATGTAAAGCACTCTGCAAAGGCTTACTGTTGTTATAGTACATTCAACAAAATAATACTTTTTCAACGCTGTAATTGTACTCCTTGTAAAATTTTGTTTCACAAAAAATCGCACAACCTCTCTTGTGACTATTAATTCCAAATTGTACTCAAGGTTGTGCGATTTACTATACTAATATAAAAAAGTAAAAGTATACTGTCTAGAAAGCATTTCCACAATAATCTGTACACTGTATATATCTTAATACTTACACAGTCAAGGAAATAATCCACGTGTGGTCGTTTGTAAACGGAAAACATCACTGGACGTCTATTTATTGAAAGCTGTTAAAAAAAGCAGACGTCAAGACACTGCATTAAACATATATACATATTCAATATAATACTATTTTAACAATTTTGTTCGCAATAGAGTGGTTTTATTAAACCTGTAAAATACATTACATACTTTAGTGTAATGTATCTTCATTATTATTTAGCTCACTACTCATTATCACTCATTACATTGTTCTTTTTTCCCTTCCCTTTCTCCCTTTTTCCATTTTCCCTTTCTTGTACATCACACATTGAAACACTTTGGCTCTCGCATTTTGATTCGTTGTTTAATGAAAACCACCCTACTACTACTAAAAATAACATTATCAAATAATCATAATTTACCTTCATTGTAAAATCAGGATGACTACCTGGTCGAACTGTTTGTCTAGCAACACTAAAATTGACAGAAGAAAACTTAAATCTCATGTAAAGAGCTGTTTACTGATGGATTCTATTTGTTTACATAAAGAGAGCTTGAATTCTTACCCATCATGATGAGCATGTACAAGGGTTTCATCTAAATCTAATACTAGTGTTTTTTTCTTGACAAGTTCTAGTGATTTAAAGAAACTGCATCAGYATTTGTTCATCCATTAATTCATTTGTTCATCATCCATTCATTGATTAATTTGTTCATCTATTCATTTACTTGATTATTCATTCTTATATTTGTCCAGCCCTTCATTTATTTGTTCATCCATTCATTTATTTGTTCATCCATTCATTTACTTGATTCTTCATTTAATTATTTTTTCCAGCCATTCATTTCTTTGTTCATCCATTCATTTACTTATTTCTTAATTCATTTGTACATGTATTTTTTCAACCATTCTTTTATTTGTTCATTCATTTCTTTGTCCATCCATTCATTTACTTATTTCTTAATTCATTTGTACATGTATTTTTTCAACCATTCTTTTACTTGTTCATTCATTTATTTGTTCATCCATTCATTTGTTTATTCATTTTTTCATCCATCCATTCATCCATTTCAATAATTAATTCATCCATCCTAAATTTACATTAAATTTCCCATTTAATATACTTACTAAGTCTTTCTATAGATAGCGGTGATAGAGGGTATGGATCATACTTTATTGTCTTGTGTTGAATAATCTAAAATACAATTATAATATTATAATAATTATAATGAAAGATAGATACTCAGCTCTACTGTAGCTCTGAATTCCCTTCTACATGTATAATGGCTATAGAAGAATTTCATAAGTGGCTCAGTGTTATCAATTTTATACAATTTATAATATCATGGAAACATTCAAAACTGTCATATGGAAGAACTAAAACTATTAGAAATAGGTATTCATGAAAAGTTTTGAAGCCATAACAACAAAAATACAGGAGTTGTATGGAATTCCCCTTCAAACTCTTATAACTCAATAATAATAATAATGATGTAATATTTTTCTATGAAACTGTCAGAGTTTATCTTTGGCTTTGATATCTACCATTTGAGCATTTTCATTTGTCAACATTTTTAATTGAGCGATAATTATATGCTAATTAGTGTCGGCCATTATGAAAGTCGTGTACATGTATAAACTAGGAAAAGGAGAGATGACTATGCAGAGCTAAAGTAAGTCTGTGATGCTTGATACTGTATGTGGAATACTTGGGATAATGTGGAATTTATACATGTACACTGTACAAATATCTAGACAATGTACCAACTTTTCAAATGTTTGTTATCTGCCAGAAAACTTACAAATAATGATATTCAAACAATCAGAAAGATTGTTATCTTTTTATTGTTAAAAATATTACTGCAGACATTGCTTTGCTGTTTTCAGTAAGAACTGATAATGGTTTTTACAGTAATTGAAACATTTCATAGCCACTATTTAGAAAAGTTTGAAAATGATAATTGCAAGTCTTTTTTCTGGTATACAAGTGTTAAAACTTCACCTTGTGGTTTCTGCTTTTATAAAGTGTCCCACAAAGATGAAAATTTATATTTGTGGAAAAATTTTCAGTTTTTTGAATGTAATCGGAGCTCCATTTTGATGTTCATTTTTGCTAACACAATTTTTTTAGTTTTGTGACAGTGTAAGGAAAGTCTACCAGGACTGTAGGAGCTATTCACATAACAGCTGATGTATTCATGTCTTTGACAGCAATCCCAGGAATTGTTTAAAATATTTACAATTTAATCCAAGAACTTTAAATAATAGATTTTGAATAATATTCCTATGAAATAAATAAAGAGAAATCCTTGATAATTTCAATTTCTCAAGCACATAATCTGCAGGGTTTTTTACTGTAATTTTCTAGCGTTCTGATGCATTATCTTAGGGTAAGCAACACTTTAAATGCTTTTATAAAACAGGTACAATATAAGAATTGCCAAGACAACACACAATTGGTACATGTAAAGTGACATTGACAGTTTTAATAAAACGATTACTTCGAACAGTTACTTCAAAAACTGTTAACGTGTCACGATTTGCTCTGAATCATTATAAAGACATATTTACATGGGAACCTTTGCTTCAGTGAAATTTACATACATTACAAGGAAAAGCTCCCGGAAAAATAAGCTTACCCGAAAGTTACCAGCTGCAAAAACAAAACCCACTGCACACCAACTGTAAYATACACTACGGATGACCATACAAACCCTCCATATATGCACGAGCTATGTATGCCATTCTAAGCTCCAAAGCAAACGAGTAAAAACCACAAAAGCAACTTACCATTTTAAGGTTTCTTCTSAGGAGATACAGAACAAGCGTCCATAGTTTRGACAAAGCTACGACCACAAACCGAAATCCGGCCACATTGCAAACGCTTTTTACAGAATCCATTCTCATATATATACTCATTGGAGTTGTCAGCTGCTGATTTGTCCAAGAAAATTGTCTATGATGAGATTTATGTTCAAATCYACTTTGTATAAAATTCGCGGAAACAACTCACTTCTCCTCGGCCATGTTTTATTACTGAGCGCTGGCAATGGAATATGGGTAATTCATTACGTCACTACATACTGCGGTGTAGCTGCCCCGTAAAAGCGATCCTGCGGTTTTCGAAATTTCGTCTAAAATATCGGAAAATAGCTTTTGATACTTTTGGTATTAAAGCAAGAGGGAGTGATGGATGAAAAAACAAAAGTCAATGTAATAAAAAAATTAATAGGTTTGGATAAGAACTCAGTCAAAATCAAGCTTCTAAAATTTATTATAAAAATGCTATACATATATCTTTATCTACAAAACTATATTCTCCATATAAAATATTTTTTTAGTTTAAAGTGTTTGTCATAAACACTTACATATTACTTAAGAAAACATTCACTGTTGAATCGACAACGAGGCTCATACTGATGAAAGTTCGACTTGAGTCACGCAACAATTTTGCGCGACTTAGTTCGAWCAACAGTTGTGTTACTCGCCACGAAAAGTTATCAAGAGTCACGGTAGACTCCTTACGTCATCCTATGTTGTCACGCGTCACACATTCTACTCTCAGMACTCTCCCTTTTTAGAAATTCCTAGCTTAAAAAGACTCTAAATTGTACAAATTTAAATAAAGACTCCGGGATGAGTGTTCAATTATGTACTATATACTACAATACTAAGCTTTCAGTGTAGTCCCTAATCTCCTTTGACTCCACTCGGACGAAATATTCGACAGAGCCTGGTCAAGAGTTTTATATGGTGTTKCTTATTTCTTCTTGTTCTTTCGAGGGTTCTGTGTCTGTCTTCGCGTAACGGTTTGCGAATTTTTTTGACCTACATCAAAGTATCGCGCATGCATCACGCTAACAGAGCGTGACTTTCCAGGTGGGGTGACTTCCAGTTGAACAAAAGCCTGTGCCATATTTGGTAYAGTGCCATTGTCACGTGCCATGATGGAAAGCAAGAACTTCTTGTCAGAACTCTTGCAAAATCGCCGGAGACTCTTTCGCAGGCGTATTTTTCCCGTGTTTGGTAAAATGCTGAAGAACGAGTTTTTCGATGAGAGTTTGTATCTGATTTTCGCGTTGTTGCCAATATCTTTGTCYTTTGCGTTCATTCGGTACAAWATCTTCCCAACTGTAAAGTTGCAAGGAATTTTCATCAACAAAGACGGYTTCTCAAACTGAGGCACGTGATCATTCTCGTCAAGTACATTCACAATGACGTATGTCTTGGATCCAATCCCTAACGATCCATTYCYATGATACAAGCCTGCGGATACTTCCAGGAGATAGCTAGCGGTCTTTTCACGATCTAGCTTGCCGATCACACGAATTKTTCCCGAATTWATATCGATTGAAAACTTTGACGGAGGTTGCAGGTTYTCTGAAAGGAGTTTGTACTGGATTGAACGGCCRGTGATAACTTTGAAAGATTTTGCKTGGATGGTTTTAAYRAAGGTTCCTGGAGGTGAATTTTCCATGATGCTGGCCATGTACTGGTCACTTCCAAACGTAATTTCTAGAAAATAAATCAATTCGGGACATTAACATTATAATTCGCGCATGCGCAACAGTAGCAATACAGGCGTAGCAAAGGTACACATGGTCATGATAAAACAGAAAAGGGCTAGAAGAAACCATAATCTTTCAACTTGCGTGAACTACGCAATTTTTCTCAGCAACTTATTGTCGACAACGACTTCAAAAAATTGTTGTTTCACAAAATTGGAATTCAGCATCTTGCACAATGCCATTGCACAGCTAGTGCAGTACACTCTGGTAATTTTCCTCCTTACTTTTAGGCATAATCTACGAACATCACTGATACGCKTTTATAGTCTAGACACATTCCATACTGGGCAAAGTGCTGAGAATATAGCTCAATGTAACAGCTCTTTCTTATCGCATTTCATKGACTTTGTGCAAATGTGTTACCTGGAAAACAGGATTTTTGGTCTGAATGGAGAGTGAATCCCTTTGGACAAAGACACTGGTATGACGATCTCGTATTTGAACAAAAGTGACTGCATCCGCCATTGTTCACCTTGCACTCGTYAACGTCTGCTAAAGAGTAAACAAGAATTGATCTTACGGCACTGTTATGGAGAATGCAAACCTGATGCTGTCTGCGGTTCATAGGAATAACGGATCTACATGTAGTTGATCAAAGTTGACACTCCAGAAGCTTGTTCAGGGCAAGGGCGGAGGCTAAATGGTCTTAAGGGGGAGTAATTAAATGGGCTTTATTTGTTGTAAACAACGTTGGAAAATAACAGAAAACAGTTAACATTTTATGCAGTCAAAGGAGGGGCTACAGTCATYCCCCCTTTGCCCCTCCCTGGATCTTCACTGCAGGGGGGTTCCAGAACCCACTTTTTCCTTGGCAAAGGAAGTCTTTGAAATGTGAGACTTCTTTTGCCAAAACAATAGAGTACACATTTTCTGATGCTCTGACAGTTTATTCGGTGTGAACCCAAAACGATACTCCTCCAATTTTCCAATCAACCGCCTTCTTCACATTATCGAAACTGCAAAACGGTCCCTTACAAAGTCCCCACTGACGTCCCCGCGCTCTCTGTTCATCGCGAATCAAGCAATCTACCTTTGCATCGGCGTCCATCTGCTGCAAGCTGAAATCCCGCTCTACACAAACAGTAGTAACTCCCATCTGTGTTGATGCACYTGTGATCGCATCGGGCAACTCCTGACTTGCATTCATCGGTATCTATTGAGAATAAGATACAGCATGGTCGTATGCACTGCTATTCAAGGAGTTGATATAACTCCAAAAGAGGAGTTAAATAATGTTCCAGTTAACTCCTTTTCTCGAGTAGATTTAACTCAACCAATTTTAACAGCACGTGGTGAAGAAATTTTTACTCCTCTTTTAAGAGCAATTTTGAACCTCTTTTGGATTAATTTGGACTCTTTTTCCGAGTTTGATTTAAACATCTGGAGTAAAATCTGCTCGCATTGTACAGTAGAGTTAACTCTCTTTAAAGTTACTCCACCAGCTAGAGTAACTTTAACTAATTAATTGGTGGAGTTATTTCAACTCCTAGAAAATAACAGTGAGTCGATGTGGCGATTCTCTCTGGCACTTTCTGGCAATTTCAATGGAAATGGCAATAGCAATGGCAATGGCATGATATCTGTGTAAATACTGATGGAAACRAGAATATTAKCCYGTACCTATGCATTTAGTTGACGAACGTCTTCCCCGATTCTCATAACCGTCAGGACAATCACACGCATAGCTGCCCACAGTATTGCGACAAAGACTTGGGAATGTACAYACTTGTCTGTCACACTCGTTGTCATCTTTAAAGTATTCATGAAAATACAGCAAGATATTAAAATAACTGTTACATGCTTGATGCTTTGATGTTAGAGGTTTGTTTGATCACATAATGGTTAGCGCGGAGAATAGTTAACGCGYGCAAATACCTTGGCGCAAACTATAAGAAGGCATTTTCTAGGAAACGTGAATAAACGAGAAATATGAGTCGCGCGTACAACGTCGAAACGGGGCTCTCTTTCTCTGAATGCGCCCTTGATATTAACTGTGTACAGTCAACTCTCAACTCTCGATATTACGGACACCCCTCACCATAATTTAGTGTCCGCAGTAGCCAGAGTTCGTAGTAACGAGAGTAACTTTAAGTCATTTTTTTGTATTTTTCGCCGGGGATTCAGTATTTTACTGTCCACAATATCGTTCAAAAGGTGTCCGTTGTAGCGGGATGTCCGTAAGGCGAGAGTTGACTGAAGTCTTTATTACGTTGTAATATAACTCCTTTTCGAAAGGTTTGCGCCTTAGCTTTTCTWTTTTCCCCTTCCAATCTTAAAAAAAACGAAAGTAGTCTTTTATCTGTACTCGTGTTGTTTGTATGTTTATCTGTATTCATGTTAAACACGCAGTATTTGACCAAATATATGATCTAATGATCCAACTCAGTACTATTAAATCCAAATATGGGATTTTCTAATTTTCCTCATATCTCTTACCAATTGCTTGATACGATGCCAGGAAGCCYTTRGCAGTACGTGTGTGGTCCGACTGTAATCKTATCCATAGATTATTCCTTGGCGAATAAATTTGACTTGGTCTTTTTTTACCACAAAATATCAATGGATTTTTGAAGCTCTTCGATTGCGCAACCATAACGAAATCTTTGGCACAGCCCAACGACGATTCAATCCCGAAYTGACGACGGAATTTGAGTCGGATTCGGAAGCCTCTYGGGACGCTGATCTGCCAGGTGCAGCGTTGRTTGTTGTCATATCCYCGGGGGTACCCTGGGGAGCGTACTGTTCCAAATGTTTGGGTCATCAATACGGGACGCTTGTCGCATTGTCCTGGTGTAGTGTTGTTGGTTAGGTTCTGCCACAACCTATCTGAAAAATGAGGGATATATACAGCGGTTTTCGTTATTGTTGTCCGATTTACAAAAGCATCGWGGCATAAGGAGCTTTGTTATACAAAAGTCAATTGAAACTTAGTGTGGTTGTATTGATTGATAAATGAAATAAGGCAAAATCTTGGATAATATGTCCCAAGAAAAGTTTCTAAACTCATAAATTACAGTTTTGATTACTTTCAAGCTGTATAGATCAGAGTGAACAAGAAAGCAATATGGCGGACAACTGATAAACTGGTAAATAAACTGCTTCCTTTTTTCTGCTAATCAATTCCAAAAGCAATGACTGAAATTAAGTCCAGTTCAATTTACAAGTATAACAAAGATGGAGACATCTAGCCTGTGATTTCTCGTCTTGTTGGCTCCAAGACTCAACAGTTRTACATTGATTTATGGTTTTGAAAGCACGCGACGATCCGTCGTCTTCACGTCAGTCTTTCAGAGATCATCTTCATCAAAAACATAACTTCCTTACTTTTTATAAACACGCTTTTTTAATGCAAATATCTGGACCTTCGATTTTGCTATGAAACTTGAGTAATAACTGAGAGCGATCCTTTCAAAAACGTTCGGTATTCCGTCTGCTAACCCAAAGCGCCCGCCATAATGTATGTCGGCCAAARGTGTTTAAGAACTGTGAATTGATTTAAAATACTTCAATTACAATACGTTTGTACAAATAATAAGTCTGTATAGCTGTCAATTGCTCAATTGGATGTCCTGTTATACGTGCTGTGCCAATTGGCTGGAAGCGTTGTCCTGTTTTTGATTGGAAAACTCCTCGTCGTGCTCGAGCCCCTTTCCTTCTGTATATTCCTGCCGTTTACACACAAGAGCTCTTCTTTCCAGCTATAGGTGTTGTAAATGTTTTTAAATGCATGTCGCGTTTAGAAAATAACTGTACTTTGGTACATTAAAGTTAAAGAATTAGCTAAAGGTTTTGGCATTGATTCTAAAGAGCAGCATGGAACGCGTAGAAAGATATTTTTGCTTATATTCTTATAACCATACGGATGGAACTCTCTCTGCCATACCGCAAGCCTATATATTTTTAACCATAAAAACCGTTTTAAATAAACATATATATAGCTATTTAAGCGTATAGTAATCCCAGTTTTAGGCATATGTCGTAGTGTTATCCAAAACTTATAGTTCCCATTGGTAAAGTTTGAAAAATACTTTTAGTAGAGCCATTCTAACACCAGTACAAAACCACACTGTGAAATGAAGAACAAAGGTGTAACGTACCTCTTGGACGAGTGCGAATAGAGTTTCTTCGCCTTGCGGAGACCTTGCTTGTAGCCATAAGAATGGTCCTATTGCATTTTTACACAAGAGTTATTGACTAATCAGNAAGTAAATTTGCGTGTTTTTTGCTTAAAAAAACGAGGTTTTCTTGGTGAAAAAAGTGATGCAAAGACCACATATCACCAGCGACAGATTTTTTGCAGTTGTAGTACGATTATCAAAGCAAGGAATTGAGTTTCGCTAGTTTTTATCGTTGAAAGAAGAGTAAAAATGATACTTCTTTCGCAAAAATAACAAAATACGTATAGTTTTACCATTAGCTCTGCACAATGAAAATACTTACACCATCATGAAGAATACGAACTGGGGTGCCATCTTTGTACCTCGAAGGATTCTTTTCAAGTTAAAAGCAACTTCAACTCGAAACTCCAACCTTTATATCCAGACCATTTCGGCTCGTAGTAATGTTAAAGCCCTAATATCATAAATCATTTTTGATAGGTCGATATCGTGTAGAATTTGACCGATATCTAAACCAATCAGGAATGAGCAATTTTGTCAAAGACTTTTCCGGTCTGGTGATGAGTGAAAGTGAAGAGGTTTAAACTTAAGTGGCTGTGTTTAGCGAAGGTACTTCATTATCTAAGGGTTCAGAGTTCTTATATTTTGTCCGCTCCGGATGTATAGAGGTAAAATGGCGTGTGAGCTTTGCAATTATTTCTGATAATTACTTAACCTGTTTGGAGTTTGTATTACTGATAATGACCTGGATCATGGTCTGGTGTGAGTATTTAATTGTACCAATAAAGTAATAAATAACACTAATAATAATAGTAATAATAATAATAATAATAATGATAATCGTGATAATGATAATAATGACAACAACAACAACAACTCATCAACATTAACTATAATAAAAATAATTATATAAGAAGTAGAAAAAGAAGAAGGAAGAAGAATGAAAAATAATAACAACAATAATAATAATAATATAGTAATAATTATATGAAACTAATAATCAACATCATAGGTTTTAAAACAGCTAGAGCTTATATTAGGCATTATGAGTTCGAGGTGCAAATGTCACAGCGTCAGACTACGGCTCGTCCACGATTAGAACAAATAATAAATCATTCCTCTCCAAAGAGAAAGCGACATGATGAGCACAGTAATGGCCGTCACCTCAGGTTAAATTCTGAATAAAACAAAACAGAGCTACTGAAACACTATATATAAACAAACGACACTGGCGCTCTTTTTGCCGAAATTCCTAATACAGGTGTTTTTATAAAGGTTGGCATAGATTTTGATAGTTAAATATGGTTGGTAAATAAAGGCACGTGAAGAATTTGGGAGGAAACCAAAGAAAGACTTAAACATCTAAAGCTGCACATAGCAAATAATTTTCTTGACTCTTTTATAGTGTTGTCTCGACAGTTTCAATCTTTCTACTCCTCCGATCAAACGAGAGAAAGTCAAAATAATCTTGCTTTAGTTTAGCGTGAAATAATTAAAATTCTGGTCGCAATTGCCATTATAATTCAATTAAATCTAAGAAACTGCTTCGACTATCGCGTGCCAACAAGTTTAAGCCAATTTAGAATCCATGTATTTGCGTCCTGTTGATAATATTTTATCTAACCACATGCTAGCATTCTTTTATAAATCATGAAGAACTTAAACAAACAGACAAACAAGCAAAAATAACAAAACTAATCCCAAAAATAAATTAATAASGTCCGTTTCAAAAGCCTAATTTCATATGTGCTTAATTCAATACAATTTAGGTGATAAATATGAGCAGAAACTAAAAATCGGAGTAATTTCCAGCGTTAGCACTTGTAAAATTCGACTTTTGAAAAGGGCGCGAAAACCATTGCTGAGCGCGCGCGCGCGCGCGGAAGTTATTATTGATACGAGAAGATTTTTCATATTTTTCCGATGTAGTTTATACACTAAATTATAGTTCTTCAGTTTCAAAAACTTACCAACCTACGACACCGCTAATATTCGTGCTTTCTTAATGACCAAATCGGAAAACCATAAAAAATTGATTTTCAAAACTTCCGAGTAGGAAGATCATCCAAAATATTCACGTCTCGGAACCACAATCAGATATACTCGACAATTTGGTTTTTCTTGAGAATTTTATTCAGGAAACCGCAGTGTTTAACGTCCGCAATCGTGTATGCATGCTATTATTTCTTTATTGATACAATGCGTGTCATTGGACTACGCGCACGAGCGTTGAGTAGTAAGCAATCTTGTCAGATTCAAAAAGGCTAAATTATCAGAGCAAGAAAATTAGGACAGTTAGTAAATAATATACTAATTATATAGCCACATATTAATCCCAAATAGGTAAAAGCTGGATTTTTCGTTAATTTTGGAATCCTGTCCAATTAAGAAATTAATTGGACAGGTTTTCAATTGGGTTTTTGTTAAAAGCTGTGGTTGGCTTTTACCTATTTGGGATCAATACGTGGCTATATAATTAATAGGTAATAAGACTCCATGCTGTCCAATTAAGAAATAATTAGACTCGAAAAATTCCTCTGACTGCCAAATTGGACTCGGCCACGGCCTCGTCCAATTTTTGGCAATCCTCGGAATTTTCCTCGTCCAATTATTTCTTAATTGGACAGCATGGAGTCCTATTACATATAAAAATTAAAAAACATCTTATAGCGAAGCTTCGAAAAAAAATGCTCTACTTTTTGTAACGAGAATGTCCATTTTCTGACACCAAAATAGATCAAATTACATAAATTGTTTGCCTATCTTATATATTTAAAGGACAGCAGAGACACAAGCGGCCTATGTTCGTCTCTCTCCTTTCCATCCTAAATTGCCGATGGTTGACTTTTCATTGACCTTGTTCGTCGGCAATAAAGACAATAATGTCTGTCATTAATTGTATGATATCACCATACTTAGACATCAGCGAGTCTAACCGGGAGAATTTAAAGCTGTCTTATCAATTTTGTCTGGATTTTTTGGCAGTGACCAGGAACACGTACTTGGACGGCTAAAAGGGGTCATTTGCGCAAGTGATTCGAACTCTACTTGTGGGGTCAAAATAAATCATAAATCACTATTACGGATTGCTTAAATATTTCATAATACGCTCAGGTATGACACAACTATTATTATGAAAAAAAAAACAAAAACAAAAACAAAAAAAAACCGTGGTTTTATCTACAACTTGAAACTTAATATGAATAGGATCCTCGCCATTTYATCTCGAGCAAAGCACGACGGTGCACTACCAGCTACATTTTAATGCATTGACGCTATGGTTTACAAGAGAAAACTTAGTACAAAGAAGAAGAGTTGAAGGAAAATAAGATAAAACACAAACTTTCTGGAACACAGACCCAAGGAAAGGAAACCGAAACGTTTTCAGGTTGAAGTATGAATCAAGGTTTTTATACTATAAAGTCTCTACCGCCGTATTCAGGGAATCCCTGTTTTTCTCAGTAAGTCTTTTACCGCCGTGTTCGGCTGGGAAGCGTTAAAAATCCTTGTGTTTTCACCCTAAGCCTCCTGCGTTTTCAGGTTAAGTCAAGAATCCATGTACTTCATCCTAAACCTGTACCTCTGTTTATAGTATAAGGGTTAAAATAAACATTTTTCGCTCCTAGTTTCTAAATCCGTTTTCAGGAGTTCAAGTCATGTGTTACAGCGTTGTGCGTAACCATCGACTTGTAGCAGGCGTTCCTTGCGAGTCCTTGAAATGTTTTATAAGTTGAAAAGATAAAATCTCTATTAAAAAAAAACAACAACAAACGAAGTAACAACAGCAAAAAATAAAAAAATAAATATAAAAAAAGAAGAAAAGAAAAAGAAAGAAGAAAAGAAAACAAGAAACAAACAAAAAAGGAACAAGAAACAAGCAAAAAAAAGAGAAATTNTAATTATATAGCCACATATTAATCCCAAATAGGTAAAAGCTGGATTTTTCGTTAATTTTGGAATCCTGTCCAATTAAGAAATTAATTGGACAGGTTTTCAATTGGGTTTTTGTTAAAAGCTGTGGTTGGCTTTTACCTATTTGGGATCAATATGTGGCTATATAATTAATAGGTAATAAGACTCCATGCTGTCCAATTAAGAAATAATTAGACTCGAAAAATTCCTCTGACTGCCAAATTGGACTCGGCCACGGCCTCGTCCAATTTTTGGCAGTCCTCGGAATTTTCCTCGTCCAATTATTTCTTAATTGGACAGCATGGAGTCCTATTACATATAAAAATTAAAAAACATCTTATAGCGAAGCTTCGAAAAAAAATGCTCTACTTTTTGTAACGAGAATGTCCATTTTCTGACACCAAAATAGATCAAATTACATAAATTGTTTGCCTATCTTATATATTTAAAGGACAGCAGAGACACAAGCGGCCTATGTTCGTCTCTCTCCTTTCCATCCTAAATTGCCGATGGTTGACTTTTCATTGACCTTGTTCGTCGGCAATAAAGACAATAATGTCTGTCATTAATTGTATGATATCACCATACTTAGACATCAGCGAGTCTAACCGGGAGAATTTAAAGCTGTCTTATCAATTTTGTCTGGATTTTTTGGCAGTGACCAGGAACACGTACTTGGACGGCTAAAAGGGGTCATTTGCGCAAGTGATTCGAACTCTACTTGTGGGGTCAAAATAAATCATAAATCACTATTACGGATTGCTTAAATATTTCATAATACGCTCAGGTATGACACAACTATTATTATGAAAAAAAAAACAAAAACAAAAACAAAAAAAAACCGTGGTTTTATCTACAACTTGAAACTTAATATGAATAGGATCCTCGCCATTTYATCTCGAGCAAAGCACGACGGTGCACTACCAGCTACATTTTAATGCATTGACGCTATGGTTTACAAGAGAAAACTTAGTACAAAGAAGAAGAGTTGAAGGAAAATAAGATAAAACACAAACTTTCTGGAACACAGACCCAAGGAAAGGAAACCGAAACGTTTTCAGGTTGAAGTATGAATCAAGGTTTTTATACTATAAAGTCTCTACCGCCGTATTCAGGGAATCCCTGTTTTTCTCAGTAAGTCTTTTAMMGCCGTGTTCGGCTGGGAAGCGTTAAAAATCCTTGTGTTTTCACCCTAAGCCTCCTGCGTTTTCAGGTTAAGTCAAGAATCCATGTACTTCATCCTAAACCTGTACCTCTGTTTATAGTATAAGGGTTAAAATAAACATTTTTCGCTCCTAGTTTCTAAATCCGTTTTCAGGAGTTCAAGTCATGTGTTACAGCGTTGTGCGTAACCATCGACTTGTAGCAGGCGTTCCTTGCGAGTCCTTGAAATGTTTTATAAGTTGAAAAGATAAAATCTCTATTAAAAAAAAACAACAACAAACGAAGTAACAACAGCAAAAAATAAAAAAATAAATATAAAAAAAGAAGAAAAGAAAAAGAAAGAAGAAAAGAAAACAAGAAACAAACAAAAAAGGAACAAGAAACAAGCAAAAAAAAGAGAAATTMCAGAAGCAGGACTCGAACTCAGAACTTTCACTTCAGGTGAAGATGAACCCCCCGGAATACACAAGAAATAAGTGAAAATAAAAAACTAAAAAGATGGGACKATTCCCCCGAGACATTCTATGAAGCTGAGGCGGCGAATCGGCTTACGTTACGGTTAGAGATTTCGGCCCTTCCACGCTATCCCGAGTGAACATAAAACTTAGTCTTAACCAAAAGGCCAGGGAGTGAGGGGGTAGCCGCCCACTAGAGCATACCTTTAGCTACCCTCTTAGACCATCGTACTATGAAGACACTTAAGATATCTAATATCTAATTGGGGTAGTCTATTCGGTGAAGTTCTATGCTAATATATGACGTCACCAAAATCCTTAGAGAGCAGCGAGCCAATCATAGCTCAGCTCATTGGGGTAGTGTATTCGGTGAATATCTATGCTAATATATGACGTCACCAAAATCCTTAGGGAGTATTGAGCCAATCAGAGCTCAGCTCAGGAATAGAGCAAACGATTCTGGCTTTGCATAATCATTCTTCAGTGTATCCAGTATTATTTGGTGGGGGTGGGGTGGGGATGGGTGTTGAGTGCTGGTTTGCGGCCGAATACCGATATTCGATGAAATGTGACGGCTTTCACCAAGCTGTTCAATTGTCGTTATTGTTTTCCAAATCACAGGAAAGTTAGGTGTAYATAGTTCTTATATCAGACAGACATYACTAGTATTCGGATTAACACCGCGGTACAAAATCGTAAACGTAAGTTTGCCGGGATTCAACGTTTAATTGATGATATAAAAGTTTACAAATGGATTAATATTGATTATCAAATAATTATTGAATATAGGATATAGAGAATGTTTAGMAATTGAAAAGGAATGATAAACCKTATRACATATAAAGAATGRGAAAAAAATTAACAATCTTTGGGTTTTATTGCAAAAATATAATCAGGCGAATTAATGATAGAAAATAACATGGATGTAAATATACAGTTTAGATAATACAAACATCATTATCGAATATAACGTTCGAGAATTTATCATGAGTTTATGAGTCAACAGATACAGAAAGATGTTTTGACTACAGCTAATTAAATTTCTAAGGAATCCATGTCGCGGATAAAAATCCCTTTTACGAATCTTTCAGTGTTTACTGAAGGCAGGGAAACAGTGCGCTCCGCGTCAAGCCCCCACGGGAAGAATGATAAACCATCACAATAGGTTTCTTGGCCGGCCCCTGGGAATCGCAGCCTGGTAAGTATTTATATAGGAAACGTAATGCTTGATCGTCACGTGATGTTTCCAGTTCCTTGCAGCGTATACAGATAATTCAGAAAAMGTTGTATACTGAAGATAGTGTATTCCACGGAAACACTGGAAAAAATCGCGCGCTTTAAAGGTTGTAAATTTGATGTAAATATGATGTAAGTGTCCATAATTCTGTAAATTTAATGGAAATCATTTACATCAAATTTACAGAATTTTGGACACTTACATCATATTTACATCAAATTTACAACTTTAAAGCGCGCTATTTTTTCCAGTGAAATTTACTAAATCTCTTAATGGCATGTTGGAATTGATTGAGTTTAGCAATATTTGTATGGCGCGTTTTGGGCCCCAAAAACGCGCCATATATATGTTGTGCAATCTCTTAGGGGCTAAAGAACAGTCAGCCACGTCCTTTATWTTAGACTTCCGGGACCTTTTCGTCTTTTTGAAAGTTTCTGACAAGCARCGGGATCGAATCTCAAGAAAATTGCTTTTTTGACGACTAATAGCATTTTATCCCGAGATCCTTTCAATCTGAATCTTTGACCAGTGTTTATGGGCTACCTGTGGTATTAAAAGGCCAGCGATTCTCTTGTTCAGCAGACATTAAGATGAGCATGGTACCGAGGTTATGCCACGTCGGCCATATTGACTACTAGAAAGATTGAGAGAAAATCTTCTACTCCGGTCTTTCTTTCTTCTTAAAAATGGTAAATATATTTACTTATTAATCGTTAAACCTATATAATGTTTATTTTACTATAATAATCTTCATCTCCATCAGATTAAATGTTTCGAGTTGTGTTTAGTTGATAATGGATTTTGAGTTAAAGTTCGGTGCTTCGAACGCCGGTCAAAAGTCATCAATACTAAAAGAGCTTTTATTTTTTTGTTTCTTGCTTATAGCCWTTAAGATTGGATATTAAGGTAAGGATATTTATATACAATGCTATGTCTATTTCTCATTTATAATTGTCTAAAGTATCTAGCCAGATTCATTTTGTCTTTGAGCTTCAACGATCATTGTCAGACGTGTCAGTGGACTTCATTGATTTCTTCAAGAGAATATGATAAAAACAGGGTTAATTTTATTATAATATTTTGAAAAACATCTAAGAGAAGACAAATGAAACTCCCCTTAAAAAATATATAATGAAAAAAATATGTACATAACGAAATTGTTATGTTTTTGATTGTTGATTAAGAACCCCTGCTTTCATCATCATCATTATCATCATCATCATCATATCGCATTATAAACAATTATAATATTTTTGAGCTATCTATGACATTGTCAGTCAATTCTAAATGATCTATATAATTTTAATAAGAACATTTCTGTGTTTATAGCGCAAGCTGTCTGCRCGGTCAGACCGTGTGAAGTCTGTCGATCTTCATCCGTCAGAACCCTGGATGCTTGCAAGTTTATATAATGGAAATGTTCATATATGGAACTATGAATCACAAACTCTTATAAAGACTTTTGAAGTCACTGATTTACCAGGTATTGCTTGCTTTTTGTGTTTTTTTTTTTTGGAAGTAGACATAAGCAGAAACAGAAACATAAGAGAACTAGAAAAGTTTTCATTTTCTTAAGTTTCTGCATCTACTTATGTCTTCCCTGCTTCATACTTATGCAAAAGCCTGTTCTTCTGCTTCTGCTTCTACTTCTGCTTATGTTAAATTGTTAACTTGCCATAACAAATAATCCTAAGTTGCTATAAAGAACCAAGTGAATCAAAAACCTTTTGCCATCTTTGTTTTGTTTCACAAAATGATCTCTTGTTGAAAGTTTCTTTCTGATCTGTTCAAAATCAAAATGGTGATATGTGAGAAAATCGTTCAAAGGTTCTTGGATCACGCGGGTCTGTAAATAGGCAATTGGCATGAAACGGCCACGTGGTACGAAATGTTCTATTCTATAGGCCAAAAGAATGTAAATAATCTCAAAAACAGAACGAAGTAGCCCGTAAAGCTTGACTTTTCTTTGTTTTTATGGTCCAAGTGGGTATTTTGCCATCCAGTATGGCGGATTTAGTACCATGTGACCATTTCATGCAAAAGGCCTATTGTTTGCTGTACTTTGTGGTTTTTGACAAATGCCAAATAGACAAATGCCTCAATAGTATGGTACAGTATATGTAAAGTCTTAATCATTTTTACAGTGAGAGTGGCAAGATTTGTACCAAGGAAAAACTGGGTGCTCACTGGTTCTGTAAGTATTTCGTAATTGTGAAAACTGTAGATAATAATTGTATTTTAGAGGAAATGTTCAGTTTACTATAAAAAATCATTATGTTACTGTATTAAAACAAAAGTATTACTTTAGTATGTAAAAGTAGATTATATACAACAATTTCTTATTGCCTTTTATCTCTTGAATAGGATGATATGATGTTGCGTGTTTTCAACTACAATACACTTGAAAAGGTACCGTCATTGTGTTACAATTAAATGCATATTGTAGGATTAAGAGTGTCATCTAAGGTCTTCAAGCATTCATTTATTTACCATTCCATTTTCTGTTCATTTATTCATCCATTATTCAACCACTTTCCTCTGTTTCTCCAAATCCTGTAAAATTTGGCAGAGTTGTCTAAATTGTGTGGCTTCTCTGTTGAAAAATACAGGTAAATTAATTGAGAGGTTTTCGTGCTGCACTTTGCTGACTTTATCAATGTTGACAGCCCCGTGCTTCTCGGAAATTTTTTATATTGATTTGGCCTAAGTTCATAAATCATTCATTCATTCATCCATTTGTTTATTCATTTGTTCATCCATTACAACTTTGAATACTTTGCAATTCTCTTAGAGTTATAGCTGGTACCTCTGTATTATACACGTAAAAATACAAAGTTTTTACCCTACACTACCATTTCACACTAAATCTTTTGTCTCAAAAGCAAAAAAAAATTTGCTAAAAAAAGAAATTTGAACATAAATTGCATTTGGTGTTTTATCTTAGCGTTAGGAAGGTGTATAGATTGTTTGCCTTCTATTTCATTTCTTCCATTTTTTATTTACTGTGTATCACTTATATATGGGGCGAGATCAYGGGGCGACATCACTTCGGGGCGAAATCACTGGTATTCTTCTTGTCAAGCAAAGTTAAAACTATATTTAATTGTTCTTTGTAGGTTCATGGATTTGAAGCACATTCTGATTATCTAAGAAGCATTGCAGTTCACCCAACACAGCCCTATGTATTAACCAGTAGTGGTAAGTAGTGTTAAAAGACAGCTGAACACGGTCACCCCAGCATCAGTCCTTCAATTTTTTTCAAACACGGGCGGCCCAGCATCAGCCCTTCAATTTTTTATTGAACACGGGCAGCCCAGCATCAGCCCTTCAATTTTTTTCAAACACGGGCAGCCCAGCATCAGCCTTTCAATTTTTTTCAAACACGGGCAAGCCCAGCATTAGTCTTTTTAATTTTTTTTGATAAATTTCACTAATATTAGATTTGATTTTCAGATGATATGTTCATAAAGCTCTGGGACTGGGACAAGAAGTGGCAGTGCACCCAAGTGTTTGAAGGCCATACTCATTACGTGATGCATATTGTTATTAACCCCAAAGATAACAACCAGTTTGCTAGTGCTTCATTGGACAGGACCATTAAGGTTAGTGTAGCCACACCCTGTGCTGTAAATGCCAGACCCTGTTKCCATGGAAATTGTTTGAAGTCTAGTTGAATGTCTCAGACAGCACACATGGTTTTAAACAAAGCATTTTATTTTTTGTATGATTGTGATTATATTGTGTTGTATTTGATCCTTGTAGGTGTGGCAGCTTGGCTCTCCAACACCAAACTTTACTCTAGAGGGACATGAGAAGGTACAAAAACGGCTGCCGCATGATGATATTGATGATAATGATTTATAGTTGTCTTACATCTAGTAGTATATAGTATATCCCTAATTTGATAAAAAGGATAATCATCATCATCGCACTGTTTCGCACCAAGTGGCGCATAAGGCCTTTATCGAGCTTCTCCAGGTTCGCTGTCACTGTCCTTGCTTCCTCCCATGTTCCAAATCCTAATAGCTCCCTTTCCTTTATAAAAAAGGATTATGATGAATGATTATATCAATGATGATGATAATGAAAATGATGATAATGAATTTTGCTTCAGTCACACACATAGGAATCAAGATGAGGCTCTGTGCATAAATCTCAGTCAATCGTGAAAAGACAAAAGTTTCTCACAATTGACTGAGCTTAATGCACGGCACCTTGTCTTGATTCTTTTGTGTTTGACTACTGAGACAAAATTCGCAAGTCGACGATGATGACGATAAGATAACGACAGTTTATTCATTCTTTAGGGTGTCAATACTGTTGATTATTTCCATGGTGGTGAGAAACCATACTTGATATCTGGTGCTGACGATAGGCTGGTCAAGATATGGGATTACCAAGTAAGCAAAACAACAATGCGTTGTTCCTCAACCATTGAAACTCTCAGAACAACAGATTTATCTCAGAAAATCTCAGAACCACTGTTCTGTAATCAGGAGTACTAGGTGAAATGGATCGTAATTGTGTTGTGATCATATGTTCTAGAACAAAACATGTGTCCAGACTTTAGAAGGACATGCTCAAAACATCTCTTGTGTTGGCTTTCATCCTGAGTTACCGATCATACTGACTGGCTCCGAAGATGGTGAGTTKCRAGCTTTATTCATTCACTTATCTATCCCACTCTTTGTTTGTCCGTCCGTCCATTCATTATCTCATTCATCCAATCTGTCTATTTTTACTTTGATTTTCTCACGACTGTTTGGTGACAAATGAACTCCACTTTTTCCAGTCCATCCATCTGGACTTTCATTTATTTACCACTCCATTTTCTGTTYATTTTTTCATCCATTTATCCRCTTTCCTCTGTTTCTGYAAATCCTGTAAAATTTGGCAGAGTTGTCTAAATTGTATGGCTTCTCTGTTGAAAAATACAGGTAWATTAATTGAGAGGTTTTCGTGCTGCACTTTGCTGACYTTATCAATGTTGACAGCCCCGTGCTTCTCKTAAATTTTTTAWATTGATTTGCRCCAAGATCATCCATTCATTTGTTAATTCAACCATTCAAAAATCATTACAATATCACTTTTATATTATATAYAAGTCCTCATAATTGAGTCTTAATTGTCAAAAAATTTTGATTTAATTGTAATGCATTAATACATGTATTTCTTGCAATAGGTACAGTGCGAGTTTGGCATGCCAACACATATCGTCTTGAAAGCACCTTGAATTATGGTCTAGAGAGAGTCTGGTCAATGGCCATGAACAAAGGTTCTAATAATGTTGCCTTGGGTTACGATGAAGGCAGTATGATAATTAAGGTAAGTCTGACTTGTTTTTTTTCCATTCCATTCAGTTCCATTCCATTCCATTCAGTCCATTCCATTCAGTTCCATTCCATTCAGTTCCATTCCATTCAGTTCCATTAAGTTTCATTCCATTAAGTTCCATTCCATTAAGTTCCATTCCATTCAGTTTCATTCCATTCAGTTCCATTAAGTTCCATTCCATTCCATTAAGTTCCATTCCATTCCATTAAGTTCCATTCCATTCAGTTCCATTCCATT